TAGCTATTTCAGAAACAGAACATTCTTTAACAGAATCATTAGATTCTGTTTCTGAATTACCCAATACTGTAGGACAGCAACTCCAACATTTAGTAAAATCTAGACCTCGTAGAACAAAAACTAGAGCACCTACAAGACCAATGCTAAGACCTGATCAACCAATGGATGGTCTTGCTCTTGGCGAAGGCCTTGATGTCTTTTTCAGACCAACTACACCAACAACACCTCTTATATCTCCCACGAGTGATGATAGGTATTTTTTAAAAAAATAATATTTTTTTGGTGAAAATTATATATATAATTTTTTTATGTTTTGCTTTAGCTCTTTGCATACTTTTCCAACTGACGGCAGTCCAAATTTATCTCTTACAAGTCATAAAAGTATTCCACCTGAAGCAGATAAAAAACCTGGTTGTAGTTCTCCGATGTTAAAAACACTTCTTGAACCTACACCGCGATCACGATCTAGTGATAATTTAGAAAAATTCTCTCCTCTTGTTGGAAGAAGATCTCAAGGTGATTCACCATTAACTGCATCTCCATTAACTCGAAGAAATACAACTGATAATGCTCAAAATCACGAAAGAATTATTGCAAAATCTGATAATAATAAAGATACAAATAGCAATATATATAATAATTGTATTAATAATTCTGCTGATACATCTAAACGTAATACATTACCAATTGGATCTGGTGCAAGTACTCGTAGTTTACGGGATTCAGATGAAAATAATAAAATGTTACAACAAACAATTGCTACAAATTCTTCAGATAAAGATATAATGATTGTTCCTAAGGATCACGAAAATAGAAAAAGTTTAACAAAAAAATCTATAGTAGAAATAGATAAGACTGTAAATCAACCTTTGCCTTCTCTTAAATTAAGGTCGACTGGTTTTGACCTTCGTAGTCCCACAAATTGTAGCAGTATGAAAAATAATTCAGAGGCATCAAAATCTCCAGTATTAAGATCTTTAACCAAAGGAAATAATTCGACTACAGATAATAAAAACAATGGTACTCTTTCAAAAACTAAACCTATTCCGCCTATAACAGCTCCAAAACCAAGACCTTGGAGTATGGCTACAGATAGAAAATCTGGTATGAAAAAAATAAATCATTTAATAAAAAATTGTTTGTGATATATATGATTTATTTAATTTTTAGGTGAATTTAATTTATTAAGCGATGGTTCTAGTCCAAATACTTCAGCTGGAAATACACCAGATTCTGGGGATGCTCTTGATGAATCAACAGATAGTGGTGTAAGTGGTCCTGCTTCTTTACCACCGACATTATCAACAAGTAGTACTGCTAGTTCTTTAAGCAATGCAAGTATAGAGAAAAGATCAGTCAGAGAATTGGCAGCTAGTTTAAACAAAAGTAAAACAGAAAGGAAAGAGAATGGTAAGCCAAAAATGCATTTTTTATTGCATGCTCAATGTATATAGTAAACACTACTCTATTCACGCATTTTAATTTTAATTATGTATCATTTCCTTATTAATCCCAAGTATATTGTAAATATGCATGTGAATCCTTAAATTAAGAAGCCTTGCTGTATATATTATTTTAGAGCATACCGCACCTGCAGCATGGAGGTCGGTGCTTCAACGTTCTATCAACCAACCAGATATCAAGGTATCTTATGTGATGTCTTTTTTTTTTTTTAATCACTTGATATAATTTCCAAAAAGAATGCAATATTTAAAATTTCATATTTAAAACCTTTATCAAGAGCTTAAACAAATTGTTTTGCGCTTCATTAAAATTCATTGAACATGAATCAATAATTATAATTTCTTTTCAAAACATTTTATTTGTTTCGATATAACACAAAAACATCGTTAAAAAATTACTTTGAAATATTATTTTGTGTAAAATATAATTCTATATGTATATGGAATTGTTATATTTTTAGGTAATGGAAGCGCCGAAAACGGTTGAAGAAAACCGAATAAATTTTAAACTTCGACGTACTTCATTTTTACGTGATTCAAATTTCAATTACAATAATGATGTAGTTGATGTTTGATTGTGACTTAATGCAGTAAAAATTTAAAAGTTAATGTCATTGACTGGATACTTATTAAAATATCTTTCATCAAAGTATTTTATATAAGGCACAAAAAATATATGTGACATGTTTGTATTTGTGCCATATGAAGTCAAATACATAAAAAAGTGCTAACAAAATATTTAGGGACAGGGTACTGAACGTCTTATAGAAAGTACCAACTTATTACTAAGATATTATTAAAAATCTTATAGTTTCTTTATAAAACTGTATTTGCAATACGGTTTTTAATTTAGAAGTAAGTATTTGTATTTAGCGTACTCAAATCATTTAATATTTTCATTACAATACATTAAAACTTTTATTTCCATAAAAATAAAAATATTAAATGCTTCTACATTCCTTCAGATTTTTAAAAAAAGGTCTGTTTGCTATTATGAATAATATTATTTAAAAAATGAATCATGTCATATTTGTTTTACCATTCAAATATTTATACATTGTTTATTTGTACATTTGAAATAATAGATTTTAATATAAATTATATTTGATTCTAATTATTTTAAGTATATTGATTGCTAATCTGTTACCAAAAAATTAGCACAATGTATTTTTAATGACATTAAATAATGTTTATTCATATTATTTAATTAGTCGGAATTAATTCTTTTAATTTCATAATAATTATTTAAATTTGTTTTTCATACAATCAGTTGTAACAGACCTGTGATTATTAAAACGTACAGTTTTATTTAAACCAGATTAATTATTGTTTATAATTTTTTATATTTGTTTTCGTATAACTTTTATTAAATTATGTTATTTTTATTTAACAATTTTTAAATATAATTGGAATTGATAAGTGTGCACAAAACATTTCTAAAAATTATAAAATGAAATGTGCCATATAACATAATAAATATTTTGTTTTTCACATAATAAAAAGAAAATTATAAGATTTTTATAAAAAATATGATATTGTCAATGATTATCACTGATTTATGAAAATTTAATAATGAAATATATAAAATAAACATTATATAATGCATATATAATATATATGATATATGTGAATGAGAGAAAAACTAACTAAACTTTGAATTAAAATAATTGGGAAAAGATATTACAAAGTATTATTATATTCCAAGAATTTTTTTGCAATATTTGTAAATTATATTTGCTATTTTATATCTTGTTAAATGTATTATAATTAAGAATAATTTCGAAAAATTTTTTTACTATGTATATCCTCTTATAAAAGAATGGCTTTTTACAAATAATTTTTTGTATGATGTAAAAATATATAACAAAACATCAATATAACATAATTAAATTTACATAAATATATTATAAGCTAGTTTTTGAATAGCAAAAACCTATGTATATATATATGTAAAAAAAATTACTCATAGATAAATTAGTTATATTTGCAGTTATCATAGACAAACAAATAAATTTGAACATCTATTTGATATAAATATCTATTGGATTTAACTAATAACTAATAAAATATTTAAGTCCTTTTGCATATAGATATTTAGAAACACAAATTATATAATAATATTACATATTAAATTGAAAATATTCTTTTTAAATTTAATTAAACAAATTCTGAAACAAAATGTGATTGTTGTATTTTAACATATTAAATATTACTCTTTATAATCATAAATATTAATCTTTACAATCATATAGATTATAAAATTTTAAAGACTTTTCTTTTATTAAATAGTTATTTACTTTGAACTTTACTAAATAAAATTAATGCAATATACATTAAATCATATATTAATATGAAATATTTTCAAATAATACAAATAAATTAGTGTCATAAAAATTTTAAATTAATTATAATATTTTTTATTGTTAATAATTTCATTCATTATTCAATAATCTTCACTGACAAATTTGTAATTTAATTACTTCTAATATAATTTTTGTAAACATATATATATCTGTAATTTTGCTTAAATGCATGTAATTAATATATATTTGTATACATATTATATTGCAGGTGATTTTTTAAAATATATATAAAAATGTAAGTTAATTATATATATATATATTTACAAGAAAAAAATTTGTATTGGTTTCTATAAATATAAAAATAAGAGTTAAAATTTAAATAACTGTGCCAAAAACAGAATCATTTTATATAAGCTTATCAAAACTCGTTCAATTTTTAAGATATTTATATAAAAGTTACTCTTTAAAGTTTAATATATAATTTTTTTTTACATCAATTATTATTATACTAAAAAGATTACCTGTAATAAACTATATTTTAGTGTGGAAATATATTAAATGCAATTACTCTGTATATATGTAGAATGAGTGATATAATATTCACACATTCATATATATATGCGCGAAAAAAATTAAACACATATAGACATTTTTTCTTCATTACATTCCTGTATTTACATTTATGTATTACATATATTGCAATTAAGCATATTTCAAAATTTATTATTGATTGTATTATATATATAATAATAAATATTATATATATAATAATAATAACATATAATTATCAATAATTTAATAATTACAGATTTTAATATAACTTATTAATCATGCAATATAATGCACTAGTAAATAAAGACTCCCATATATACATAGCATATTGATTATTCTTTTTATTTTATATATATTAATTTTGTATATTTATATAATTTTATATAATTATTTTTTTAAAAAAATATAATTATTTATTATAATAAGAATATAATTTTTTTTTATTATAAAATAATATTTATATGAGAAATTTAAAAAAATATTCATTGATATAATTATTATAAAATCAAAATATATTAGAATTAAATATATAATTTTAGAATAATTATGTACATAATAATACTTAAAATCATTTTTAAGTTTAATATATAAAATTATAAATTAGAAAAGTTAATAATTTTACAGGTTGTTGATAATGCTTTAAAGTATTAAGCATCAAACTATATTAAAATGTATTTAATATTTAAAGAAATATAACAAATTATTATAAAATATAGCAAGTTAATGCGCGTGCGTGAAAAATTGTATGAAATCTGGCATTTCCATAATTCAAGAGATGGAAGTATAGCAGTGGAACGTTTAAGGAAATAAAAGTACGTGAAATTCATTTTACTTAGGAAATGTTAATGAGTTTTGTTATATGGTTTATATTGTTAAGTTGAGAAAGTGTAGAAATGTCACGATCAAAATCTGAAAAGATTGGAAATGGTAATAAATGTGAATTAAGTATATGGACACGTGCGATAACAGCTAATTCCGAATGGCCAGACAAAGTAAACATAACCACACTTTGATTAATTATGTTTTTCGTTTATTTTTATGAATTCACTTATTTATTAATTTAATTATTATAGGAAGAATTTTTGGATGTTATATATTGGGCTAGACAAGCAATTGGTATTATAGTTGGTATAGGATGGGGTCTTATACCTTTAAAAGGTTTTATAGCTCTATTATTGTAAGTTAAAATAGTTTATCTAGATCTATATATATAGATATATTCATATATATATATATATATATATATATATATATTAAATTTGTGGTTTTTATATATATATATATATATATATATATATAATAAATTGTGGTTTATATTTTAGATTTGTATTAGTTAATGCAGGTATTACATACCTGTATTTTAGCAATTTTCAACAAATTGACGAAGAAGAATTTGGTGGTATATGGGAATTAACTAAAGAAGGTTTTATGACATCATTTGCTGGTTTTTTGGTAATTTGAAGTTATTTAATTTTATTTGTTTTAAACTCTTTAAAATCATAATTTTATGATATTTTTATTCATAGGTCACATGGATCATTATATATTCAGGATTACATTTTGATTAATCATTTTTAAACTAAAAATATTAATGCATATAAAATATTAATATTTTTCAAGAATCAAGTATGCAATTTATCTATATTTTGTGGAAAATAAGTTTTTCATATAGATTATATGTTTTGAATTTGGTATATTTAATAAACATACAATAGAATTATTTATTACTTACTTGGATAACTCTTGTTACATGAAATTAAATATCACATACAAACTATTCATCTATTAAAAAGTTTTTTTCATAGAAAATTAGTAAATTTTAAAGATTAATTATTTGTTATTAAAAACAATGCTTTTAAATGTTAATTATAAAACATTTTTATTTTACAATACATTTAAAATTTTTTGTTACATGTCATTGATATAAATAAGTAATGTAAATTATGCTATAAGTATTGCATATGCCAAATCAGATTATATGCAAATAATTAATACATAACAATTATATATAATTAATATAAATAAACATTTTAAGTAATTATATTGCTCAATATTTATAAGATTTAATATAACTATATATTATTCATAATAATATTCATATTTGAATATATTATTCATGACAAATAATGGTCTTAGATTTAGTTTTAATAAATTATATAAATAAAAAATAAATTTAAAATATCAATATAATTTTAATATATATTATTCTAATGATATTTCTAAAAATAATTATAAATACAAAACTAATTAATATCAAATTATACATATTAAATAAAAATAGTATACTTCAAATTTCATTTAACATAATTTATTTAAGATATATAATATCATGTATAAATTATAAAAAAATATGTTAATAAAATGTCAATATATTTATAAAAAATATATTGAAATTAACCGATCATTAATCGTTTTCGTCCTCGTGATTGTACTTCCTTATATTTAGAAACAATTTCTCTACATTGATTTTTATTTATATAATGTATTTGATAAATATCAAATATTTTTGAAAATAATGAAGGTATTTCTGAATGTGCACTTAATAATGATCGTTCAAGAACGTATAAATCGACTGCTTTATCTTCTATGCTTGATTCTATACGAGCTAATCCAAAATCTATTATAACAAAATTATTCGCAACTATAACGAAAAAAAAAATGTTAAATTATTAAAATAAATTATTAAAATATTAAATTATTAAAATAATATTAATTGTAATAAATTATTATAATTGTATACCATCATATTTTTCAATATAATTGTTGTCAATATTTTTTAAAAGAATGTTAGAAGTAGTTAAATCCCCATGAATTATATTTTTCAAATGTAATTTAGCAATAAGTACTCCAAGTCCTTGTGCTATAAAATTTAACAAATGATCAATATCTGTTTCTTTCAAAACGTTTTTATGGAGAAAATCTTTTAATATTATTGCATCTTGTATATATTCCATATAAATACATCGTCGTTCTAAATTTATCAAATATATAGCTGGTGTTGCAATTCCTAAAAAAAGAAAGAAAACTTTTTAGAAAAAAGAAAATATAAATTTAATATATTATTGATATTCATATTATTTTACCTGCAGTTTTAGCACGAAGTATAGCACGACATTCGGCTTTTATTCGATCTTTTGTGAGACGCGTGTCCAAGTCTGGATGTCTATATTTCTTTTCGAATCTTTCCTTGATTAATGTTAACTTTCCTAAATAAGTGCCCTTATATATACGTGCTTCAGCGCCTTGTGCTATTAATTCAAAATCTTTTATATTATTCAACATCTGAAATATATATTTCATTTGCATTTTTTCTATTTTTAAAACTTTTGTTATTTATATTAATGAAATTAGTTTGTTAAATTAAAAAAAACATTTAAATTTATATTTAGCGATTATCAATATAAAAAATATTTATTTTTTTATAATTTAAAAATGTTAAATTAAAAATACATTAATTAAAATATTTATATATATAATAATTTTATATTTTTGCAATTTATTTATAATATAATCAATATTCAAATGATAAGTTATTAGAAATAAAAAATGAAGTTATTCGCGCTAGCAAGGGCAAGATGAGGGCGAAATGCGAATCGATCGTTACCCAAGAGCGTCCTGCGCGCTAATCGCTATCCCGGCGCTAGTATTCGCCCATACTTTGTTCCTATCGGATTGACAAGCTAATACTGTGCTTTTTTGTTTTGTTTGAATTATAAAAAAAAATTTTTTATTTAATTGGTAAAAATGAGGGACGAAGTGAAGATGGATGCAAATCGGTTAATTGCCGAAGTTTATAAGCGGCCAGCGCTTTGGAACCAAAGGCATATCTCTTATCATAATCGCGAAGTGACGAACCGCGTTTGGATGGAGATTGCATCGATATTCAAGTTACCCAGTAGGTGCATTGCTGAAATCGTTTTTCATATATCTCATTCGCGCGCGCATTTTTGTGATCCATTCTATTAACAGGTTTTTAGTCTCATTTATAATAAAATAAAACTTATTTAAGTATATTTAAATATAAGTATAAATTGTTACTATTATAATATAATAAAAGAATTATTAAAATATTAAATTATTTAAATATTAAAAAGTACTATTTTTAATATACTCATTATGTATTTATCTAATGATTTAAATTTTATAATAATAGCGTAAAATATTTAAAATTTCATATGTAAGAAAAATTTTTTATATTACAATTATTTTAATTATTACATAAAAATATATACATAAAATATGTATGTACGTTTTGATGATGCAAATATTATTTGATTTCATTGTATAGTATTTTAATGTATTCGTGAATAGTGATCCAGTTAACCTTACTTTTTTATAGTGATATGTTACTGAATATATTGTATTTTAAGACAATTTATAATCTTAATTTAATATACAAATCTTAATATCACTTAATACTTTATTCTATGAACTACTGATAACTTACAATTTATTATTGTTTACCGTATTAAAGCTGAGAAAGATTTAAATTGTATGTAAGTACAAACTTGTTAGTTAAAGACGCATGCGTACAAGCAGTCAATAAATTTCAATTATCGCATTTATTTATAAATTATTTCTATTATTTGTAATTTTTGTTATTTATATTTTAATTCATAATTATATTTTATAAAAATGATGTTTTACATTATTATACATTATTTTATATGCGTATGTATATCATAAAATATAGTATATGCGAGCGTGTGTACGCGCATGTATGTGTTAATATAATTTTATAATTCAATTGAAATCAATTAATCTTATTAAATTAAATTGATGATATTAAATACATAAATTACTAATTAAATAAATGATATAGTTAAAATACTTCGTATTCACATTTTTCAGAACCAGTATTAAAAGCAAAATGGAAAGGTTTGCGAGATACTTTTCGAGCGGAATTAAAAAAGGATCAAGTTTATCGCAAAAGTAAATTTCATCGAAATAGGCCAGTATGGATACATTTCAAAAGTTTGCAATTTTTAAAAGAACAAATGTTACCTCGTCCTCCTATTTGGGAACGAAGTAATTCTTGTCAAGATGATGATCGAGTACCTAGTGAAAGCGAGAGCGATGGAGCTTTGATACAGAATGGTTCGTCGGTAACAAACAGAAATGTGGAAGATCGAAATACGATTGCGAATCATCTACTGTCGATAAATAGCGACAACGGATTAAAGATCGACGCTGTCAATCATATAGATGTGAAACAAGAACCTGAGGAGAATTTTGACAATCTTGAATTTCAAAGTGTTTCCGACAATCTCACTGAAAACGAAATGATGTTACAAAATATTTCTCCTGAACAGGTGCTCATGGGTGAAAATGACACTAATATTGGTATACCAGTAGATCCTTTAGAAGGCAATCGTTTTGATGATAATTATTATTTTCTTATGAGTCTTTTACCACATATAAGAACATTGCCTGCTGACAAAAGAATGTTACTCAGAATGCAAATGCAAGAACTAGTTTATAAGGAAGTTTATAAGAAAAATTCGGATAGCATTACAGCATCGTAAAAAAATGTTAAAAATAAGTATTTTTAAAGAAATATCTATATGTGTTTTGTTGGAATCAATTAAATCATCAAAATATCATTAACTATTCACGATAACATTAATGTGAAACAAATTGTTTTATTAAAAATTAATCAACAAATTAATAGGTTGAAGAAATAACATAATAAAGAGCTATAGTCTTATTTAAGTTAATATTTTCAACAAATTTATACTCCGTAGGTTGAGAAACACTGGTGCTTTCTCGTACCTGCGGGTACGACCGTGATGTTTAGTGTGGTGTATATAGGTGTAGTAACGTATTCGTGTATTCACGGCATTCCTGTTTCGTTGCGCATGCGTACCTGCCATAGCTCCTCTCGACTAATCGTTTCGTTCATTTTCGTGTTACGATTCGGTTGTGCTTTCGTTAGTTTGTTCGCGATTGCCAAAGATCATTGTGTCCATGCATTTATAGTTTTAAATTTGAAATTGTGCATTTAATTAATTTATGTGCAGGTGTACCTGTCTGTGTCAAAGATATTTATTGTGTGTATTTTTTGTGAATCTATTACCTGATTAAGGTTTAGTGTATACAGGTGTTTACTTCAGGTGACAGAAAGGTGCATCTGCCTCGGATTTTCAATTTTTAATTCTATATGTTCTGTATTTAACTATGCGTTTGTAAGAAATTTATTCGCTTCTTTGTTGAACAAACTATTCAAAACTGACAAACTCATATATCAGAGAATATAATTTCTCTATATTTTATTGAAATTATATATACCTACTGTTCAGTTCAAGGTGAGTCAACGAACGAACAGTAATGCAAGGAACGTTCTGCTGTTTTTTTTTAAATTCATATTCTTTAAATATTACAATTTTATGTAAAACAAATATTGTTTAATGAAACACAAAATAATAGTTATTTTAACAAATAATACTAAATTTAATGTAATATTTTAATTTCATTCTTAAATATTATTTGTCATTTCTTTAGTACAAAATAAAAATAAGTTCTGAACAATAGTCATCCAGTAAATAACATAAATTATTTAGATTTAAAATAACTATTTAATAATTAGGATATTTATATTTTTTATTATTAAAAATAATATTTTTAATAATATTTCGCATAAAAATATATTGCAATATATATATATATATATACATATATATATTTATAATTGTTAAAATTAATTGTTGTAATTGCAAAACGTGAAATATTCATGTTGATCATTACAATATTTTCAAATTAAGACAATTTGTAAAAGAAGCTATATTACTTTCATTAAAACTTAAATAATGGCAAAGCTAATGATATTCTCATGTCATCATAATTAAGGTTAGAGATATTATACGCTGTTAAGCGTTAAATATATTCTTCATCTATACTTTCGAGCTTGCTCTAAATAGCGTACTGGAATCTCCCAGCGATTTGAAACGCATCTACGCATTCCGTTCCGAGTGACAAGTACCTGGAAACCGAGACGCCAGTTATCTCGTGGATAATTTTCGTAACTAGTCATAATAATGCTAATAAAGATCTTTGTATTTACAGTAAAACTTAGAATATTCATTTATATATTAAAAAAAATAAAAAAACAAATAATAATAGAAAATTTGATAAATTAATTAAGAAAATTTTGTTATTCATGTTAATAATTAATATATAATTGAAAATATTATATGCAATATTAAATTTAAATGCAATTATTTAATTATTTTATAATTTTTTTATACATAAAAAATTATAAATACAAATATGTTCTGAATGATCGAAAAATTAATTGGTATTAACACATATGCTAATATTTATTACCAATAAATTCGTAAATTGATGCAAAATATATATATATGCATATACGATATATGCATGAAATTATTTAAAATCATTAAATTCGTATTATTATATTATTTATATTGTTTTATAAAAAAAACATTTTTTTTTGTAATATGCAATTAATAATATGTGGATTTGTTTATATATATATATATATGTATATTTTTTTCCTATTTGTAATATTAAACAAAAAGATAGTGATAAATAAATGAAATATTTATTATTTAAAAAAATGCTAGATATATTTCATTAAAATTACATTTTTTTTGCTGAAAAAACGATATCAAACATTATAATAAGTATTTCAAAATTTTTAAATTTATAAAGTGGAAAAATATACATATATATGTATATATAAATATACATATATATATATTTATATAAAATTTTTTTTGATTTTTCTTTTTAAATAGCGATTTTCAATTATAACACGATTATTAAAATATAAAATTTTTACGACTGTTTCTTTTCATTATTATCTTGAACATCTTAATTAATATGATTTCATTCGTTCTATAAATAATATTATACGAAATATATTCAATATGAATATGAAAATCAATTGAATTAATAATATATGATCAAGAAGAATCAGGATATAGATGATGCATGATTACATATTTTGTTTAATATTTTTTATTCAATTCTTGCTATAATACCAGTTAATAAATTACCTTTTAAAAGAATAATAATAAAATTGTAAAACTGTAAATTTTTAATGAAATGTGATGTTAAATATTTAAATATAATTAATAATGAATCAATAATTCGAATATATCCAAATTATAAATATATCTAATTTTTCTAATAACACTTATACCAATTATAAGATTATACTTTTTTATTTTTTTACTAATTCAATAAAATTTTACTTATAATACTTCTAACAATTTATATTTATTTATTAAAAAAATTTAGCAAAATTCTTTTATGATTAGTAAAATTTAAACAAAATGTGTTGATAATTCTTTTCAATATTACTTTATTTCTAGAAGATATGATTAAATTAAATAATTTTCTTTATTTTCTTAAAAATAAAAAATTTAAAATAAAAAATAAAAAATTTTGCAATTATATTATTATTCTTTTGAATTAACGATATAAATATTATCAATATTTTTTTTAATATATCAATGAAATTTTTAATTTTATGTAAAATGTTTATCAAATATTTATTTTAAATGATAAAATTGTAAAACTGTAAATTTTTAATGATTTTTAATATAAAATTAATGATTATCTTTATCTTCTGAGTTTTTAAAACTTTTTAAAAAATTAAAATTAAAATTATCGTAAGATATATAATTAAATATTTTTTTCTTGTCTATATCAATTATTTTTTTATGTTATATATATATATATATATATATATATATATATATATATAATAAATATATAAATATATATTTTACATATTATAGGAAAAAAAAGAGAAAATGTTTTTTAACATTGAACAATACAAATATATCATAACATAATATTTAATTATGACTTTTTTATCGTTGAAGTCTAACTCAGTGTACCATGACTTAATATACTAGATTCTCACGCTTTTCTTGAATTCTAAACCATTGCATATTCATTAAATAATATTTATATATAGATTATAAACTTATTATTTCATAAAATAGTTTTTTATGGTTCTGTAATAATTTTTTTTTATAGCTAAAATCTATCCTTGTCTCTTTTTCTTTTGGGGATATTTGTTTGCTGTTATTTTATCGATGAGAAAGAATATAGAGATAAAATGAAAATCGTGTTATATTCTATTTCATTTTTTTATTCTCTTAACGTTTTTGAATATCTAACTCAGAGAACGTTTTTCAGTAACGATCGGTTCTTCTAGCGAAGCATTCAATAATTGAAAAAGCTCGGACATCTCTCACTTCTCGTTATTCATCGAGCTTCGGCTCCAATCTGGCCGATAACGAAGGATGGTAAGCTCCCGTTCGCCTGGTGTAAATGTTTCATCAACTAATAGCGTGGCTACATCACGTGTCGTCGTGTCTGACAGTGACGTAGCTCGTGATAGTGACGCCATCTTACCGAGCACCCGCCAATCATATCGTGTGGAGAACGAGGGTGATCATGTAAACGGAGCTCTTGGTGCTGTTGAATGGAGCCAAAGTGGTCCGCCTTCGCTTTCTATGTCGGTGGACTTGCATAATCTGGTCAATCCGAATCTTCAAGACTCTGGGCATTATTCCGCTAGTCCCGAACACGTTGATACCATCGCGTCATCTTGTAACATTAAATCTACGAATAATCACGAAGAAGAAGAAAGCTACGAAGCATTTGGATCTGTCGAAGGTGACGCTGATGACGGGGTGGAATCGCTGGGTGGTAGTTCTGCACCTTCACCCACAAGTACTAGTTCTTTCAAGTAAGTTCGCCTCTTTTCTCCTTCTTACTCTTTTCTCTTACTTTCTCTTTCTCTATATATACATATATGTATATACTTATACATTGATTGTTCTTTATGTAATAATATCGATAATACACAAATTGTCGTAATTTTGCGCGCGAATATTTTTAAGTTCAGTAAACTTTAGTTTCTCAATGTATCCTGTAGAGGGTATCATAAGCGTTATATATATAAATAAGAATTATTAAAAAATTACATTAATGTTTTTGTTATAGTTAGAAATGAATTTACGATCAAAAATGAAGTACAATTGTAATAATATTTTATAATTGTTTTTATTGAAATATAATGAATGATATTTTGACATTCGTTTAAAATATCTCTGATATAAAATCATTCATATACAAATCGTGTATAGTATTATTTTTATTTTATATTAAATGTCTGTTTTAAAATCATTCTATCAAAATATATTTTAATATTCATGTTGAATATGTTTATCTTGTATTAAGTACATTGTAGTTGACACGAAATTTAATACAAACTTTCTCACATTTTATATGTATATCATTCAAACAGATCTATTCCCACGATCAAATTAATACTTTGTTAACATGTAGAAAAAAACTTTCACATGAAAAGAGAAAATAAAATTGAATATCTTATTATATTCCATATTCTTCAAAATTATTAATTTAGTTTTATATTTTCTTTCAATTCTATTTTCTTTCAAATAACTATATGAAAAAAAGAAATCATCAACATAAGAATTGGTAACTTATTTTAAATTTGCAAAATTTTTAAACATATTTTGAATAATTCTTAATTATTAAAATTGAAATTTACATGCTGTAAAAATGTAATATAATTAATTAGTTTATAGATAATGTGTTTTGTAAATTTTGTTTTGTTTTAATTAGAAATCCAAGAAGCCCCAATTCAACTATAGGAAGACATTCTTGTCTACGGACATCACTTAGACGAACACCGCCTTGGTAAGTTTATTTTTCTTTTCGAAAAAATTCTAAATTTGTCTTTTTTTTTAATATCCATTTTTCTTATTTAACTTTATTATATTCATCTATTATATTCATTTATTAATTTCACTGAAAAAATTTACTTTGCTCGAATAAATAAAATAATTTTTAAATTTATTAATAATTTAAGTTTCATTTTTTTTTTAATTATTTAATATTATACTTCAAAAAATTTTAATATTTAAATTCAATTCAATGATTTAAATTTTTCGCATTGTTTTAATTACATAATTATTAATATAATTTTTTTTACCGCTAGATTACTTTTAAAAATAATAATTAAAATTGTATTTAATATTTAAACTTCGAATTTATTATTTTTTAAAAAAAAGAACTCGAATTTTAAGTAGAGAAGATTATTATTTATTATTTTAAGATTTAGAATCCAAACCTCTAATATTTAAAGTATAAACGCCAAATACTTATAAAAGATAGAGTATATTATTAATTCCGATTGTTAAGTCGAAAATAGGAAAATAGAAAATTAGATCGAATATAGCACGTGATTTATACGGCGTATAAAAACGAAGTTTACGCATCGTCGATATTATAATCGAGAGATTCGTTACGGAAAAATTTTCGATTACCAAAAAAAAAAAAAACCAAAAACGAGATTGGCATGTGAAAAAATTACATCTGTGAAATCGACTGATAAATTATGATCGTTTAATCATATTAATAAACTGAAAAAAAAAACTTATCTTTAATATCTAAGGATAAGGTGTGAAGAGTTGTATTTATTAAATTTCATTAACATGTTTGTAACAATTTATATGACAAAAAGGAAGTCATTACCAGTATGCGAAGTACAATATTATAAATAGCGCGTAATAATTTTCCATTCTAATGCTATTCACGATTATATCACAAGAATTTTTCAAGATAATATTTACTTCACGAAAACAATTAGTTGAGCAATACGTTTGTAACTAACTATTCACAATTTGTTCATTATTTATTGAAGGAACAAAAAGAAGAAAACGGTTTCGTTAATCGAACGTTTTCATTTTTACATCTATTATTGAATACATCAATATATCAAAATATATCAATTGTATATATGAATATATACAATTGATTACAAAAGTTTTTGACTGCTTGATTATTTTGCGTTTCAATTTTTCAAAATTGCAAAATTATTCGTTACACATTATTGTAATTTATCTTCATACTATTAAAATATGATTGTAAAATAAAATAGTAAATATTTAACAGTAAATATTTCTTATGTATCGATATCATTTTTTTATTATATCTTGTGTATTATATAATTTAATATAAGATGCATATATATATCACATCTAATGTGATCAATTGTATATATCATGTCTTGTCTATTTATATGGAAAACTATATTTGAAATTGAATATTGTATCCTTGCCAATGACATTAGAATAGAATCAAATTGTTGATTCTTTTTCATCATAGCGTTAAATAGATATATATATATATGGTATTTTCTTGGCTTCATTTATTATTTCATAATAAATTTTAGCCTTCGTCTATTTTTTTCGATTATTTGATTCATTTATAGAAATTGCGATTTACTTGGTTGACAGATGGAATATTAAATTGTTCGAGAAGATTTTTATAAGATTAATTATTTCATTAATTTTTCGATATTGAAGTAAATGTTATAATAACGTAAATTGATGTTGATTAAATATATAATGATGATTAAATGGAAAAATAATACAAGGCTGAAATTTATTAACATTTATTATTTTAAAAATTATAAAATTATATTCTATTACGTAAGAATATTTTTCACAATTATATTATTTTTTCTTTCTTTTTTTTTTTTTTTGTTTTTTTTTTTTTTTTTTTTTTTTTTNTTTTTTTTTTTTTTTTTAGTTCCGGAAGGAAGAGACTTAGTTCCAATGCATTAGCAAGGTAAGATCGAATCGTTAATTATATAGGTTTTACGATTTATCTTAATGTACTATGTAAATTGTTTTTTTTTTCTTTTTTTTTTTTTCTTGAAAAGCATGTAATTGTTAATAATAAAAATATGTAAATAAAATGAATTTACGATTTCAAATTTACGAAAATTCTATACACTAGCCTGATAAGCGTGAAAAAGTATCCCTAGAAAGTTTGAAAGAGATATTTTTATTTCATCTGAAGAGTCGACGAGTTGATGTCATGGGATAACAATAGCTATCGTGTTATTCAGCAGCGAAGAATTTACATTTCATAGGAAGAACTTTAGGGTGTCCTTATTTAACTGATAATTGTCAAGTCGATCCTTTCACAAAACGCAAAACGACGGACTTTCTAAAGCGTGGGCACTGTTTGCATACGCACTTCCACATATCGTTTCCTTTTACACTTCCATAAATATATTACCAACATTTTACCTCGTTATTTATATTTATCCTGTTCCATTTTTCCAAATTTATATTATTTCGAAAATATAATTCATTTAGTAATATCATACTTTTAATTTTTAAATATTTTGAATAAAACTTATTTAAACAATATTTTATAAATTTGTTTTTGAATATTGTTTGTGAATATTTGATAATATTCAGTGATTTTTTTTAGTCAACTTTATCGAAGTGGGAGCTTCAATAGTTCTGGTATAAGCTCCAACTGTGATCCCGCGGACGATATGTACAGCGATGTCTCTCTCGAGGATGATGTCATTGATCTCAATCATAAAGTAAGTACAATTGTCATTAATTATTAATCTAATTTAAATTCGATTTATTAGTTGATATTATATGTGTGCGTGTGTCTATATACATATATATATATATATATATATATATATATATATATATATATCATTCTATATTGTTATATTTCAAATACTTGAAGTTTCTCACAATCAAAAATATTATCGATATATGACTTTTTTGCAAATTACTCTTATTTCTGATATTTAACGTGTCAAAATTTATCTATAAAAAATGATGTTTAACCTCACGTTTATCATCATTGTGAAACAAAATTATCGCTCTTATGATTCGTGCGATATGAGCGTAAAATCTATAATTTCACCGAATTTGCAGAAAACATATAAATTTAATGTTTGATAAGGGAAAGGAAACTTTATAAATCATCAAGATCGTAGATGTGTGCCACTAATACACCTTATGGATCAAGATCCTCCGAAAATTCCGCAGATGACGTCAGGTTTCATCAACCTCATCCAGCACATCCTCCACCTTACATTTACTATCCACCACCTTATCCCCATTTTCATCCATATTATCCATATCATCCTGGATTTTATTCACCGCATTATTACAATGATGTATCCCAAGAATCAAAAGGTTTCTCTTGGTTCAATATTGTATTACTACTTTTTTTGTTATTGTGCATCGTTAGCATTGTTTTCTATTGGTCTCTGTCTCGCGATACACGGCGAAGATTAAACGGCAGATTGCCTCCTTTAGTGCAACCAGCACAGGTAAACCTGGTTTCCGGTTGCTAGCATAATTATTGTTTTATATTTATTGTTAGTTTTCCCCGCTATCGTTACGCTATAGCGATTGTTTTGAAAGTATAAAGATTGATTAATTATGAATCGTTTCTACGTATATTAAGACGATGTTGGAAAAAAATGATCGGAGATTTTTAAAGTGTAAAGCGTACTCTTTGAACACTTTCGATTAATCTGAATCGGTGATTCAAATTTGTTAGAGCGAATCATGGTTCCGGTATCATGGATGACTATTACTCTTTGTAACTCATGTTCGTTATGATAAAGAGATATAAAATTTAATAAATTTAACAAAGAAGATATATATAATAAAAACGTGACAGCATATAATAATAAAATAATATAAATTTATCATTCAATTATGATATTGAAATTGAAATTTATTATTATTTTCACAAGATTTCTAAATATACGTTAAATGCTCTATAAATTTTGAATCCTTTCTCTGATCATTCTAAAATCCTTCCAATTGTCGTTAGTTATAATGATAAAATAATGATTAACATATAATAATGAAATAGAGATTTGAATGAATAATGAACGTGAAAATTAAATTTTCAATTGATTTCAAAAAGACATAACTTGAAAAATGGAAACAGTATTTAAAAAAATTAATAATGAATAATAAGCAGAGAACACGAATATTCAAGATTATATTCGCGGAGATAGGATCCTTTAAAAAAGCGATTTTAATTGGCAGCTACAAACAATGATCTTTCTGAACTTGTAGACTGCGAAGAGAAGAAAAGATGCAAAACAGAATTATCCTGCTGAATTTGTTTTATATTCTGATATAAATGATGCACTCGATAGAGATTATGATGTTTTTTGCGAAGGATGTGATGATTCCCTATCAACTTCTACATCAAGTAAATATCAGAAGCATTCCGTTTACAAAGGGAACGAAAGTAAGAATGAAGATATCATAGAATTTTCATCAGGAAAAAAAAAAAGTTAATGATGCTACAGATGATGCATTTATGAATCAAGTTACTCGATCAGTTGCCTCTTAGAATTGAATTTCTTAAAATTGAAAAAAAATGAAGAAATAATATATAAATTTAATAACTAATAAATTTTAATAAAAATATAGTACAAATTTAATAAAAATTAAATGAAAACTAAGAAATATTTGATTTTGATATTGATTGATATTTCCATTTTTTACTCATTCATGATATTATAAATTTATGAACGTGAAATTAATTATTATAATAGTTTCTGAAAAAAAATTTCACGATTATGAATAATTGAATGAATTGCGTAAAAAATAAGGTAATATATTTTATTAAGACATAATTTTTTATTTAAGGTAGACTCAATTCCATTACCAATTTTATTATCTATGTATTGAATTGCATATTGTTCATTGATATATTTATTACAGGTTTACTATGATAATATATTATTAATGAAGATGAATTATGAATCATATATAGAAAAATCAAAATATATAGAAAAATCAAAATATATAGAAAAATCAAAATACTGATGAAATACTATTAAATTTGTTGGATAAAAGAGAATTTCAAATATTATTTTTCCTTTGCAATTATCACAATATTTATATTATCACAAATATATTATTATATTGAATATAAAAATAATTTTAGATGTTCTATTATCAATGTGCATATTTTTATAACATAAATATATATAAATTATTTATTTTTACAACAAATAAATTATTTATTTTTATAATAGCATGAAATGAAAAGTATTGGTTTTAAAATAGTATGCCTTTTTAAATCTGCATCTATAATTTTGCATCATAATTCTTTAAATCTTAAATAAAAAATTACACATATATTGTATTAAATTATTGATAATTTTTCGATTTTTATTTTATAATCGAATAAATCATTAATATTATTGTATTTATTGTAATCACAATATTATTGCATCCTGTTACATAATATTTATTCTTAATTATTCACAAAAAAGAAATATATTTATAAATAAATTAAGAAAACATATAGAATAAATAAATACAAATGTTACAATTATAAAACATAATATAAATAATAATGTATTATAAAAACTTTTTTATTAATTTATTAATATATTAGTATTTACTATATATATTAGTAAATAAATATGTATATACCATATATATCATTTTTTGGATAATTGGATAAACAAATGCAACGCAAACGTAATACAAAAATACGATCAGCAATGCAAGATGATAAAATTGATTAGTCATAACATAGATTGATAAACAAAATAAATTACTCAAATATTCAAAAAAATCATAAAAATTAATAAGTTTAGAGTGAAAACTGCGTGGTTAATATAATATCTAGATAAAGTATGACATGTTCTAAATTTTCTGAAGGATTTATTGAATGGAAAGGTTGGCCTTTTTTTAATTTCTTCATTCTTCTCATTATAATTGATTATTTTGAAATTTACTTTTTATAAAAAATCGAATATAATGAATTCTAATTCAAGAATCATATGAAATATTTCAAGTCAATCATCACATATATTTTACATAGTATTTTATATAATCCTATTTGAAGCTTTCTTAGATTCACTGAGCTTATATATATAATTCTAAAAAAATTATTTATTTTGAAAAAATAAAAATAAATCATATATAATATATTATCTTTATTTTTATTTTTACATATTTGAAATGCTAATTCTTACTTATATTAATACATATAAATGATTTTTTTTTACTTTTTCATGAAAATTGCTTTTAAATATGCATACAAATGTTTTTTTAGATAATTTTAATTTTAAAACATGAAATATCGATAGTTGTATAAACCAAGCATTGTGAAATGATCAGGGGCGTATCTTCGTGTATTTTTCAAAATTATCACTATATATGAATTAGTTGATAATGAAATAAATATATATTATTAGTCGGAAAAATATTCTTGATATTTATAATATAAATATAATAACAATATATGTGTACAATTGTAATATATAATATAAAGTATTTTGTTAATTATTAATTAAATAATTAATAAAATAAAAAAATTTTTTTCGAAGATATATAATATATGATAAATATATATAATAAAAAAATTAAAATTCTCTAATTCATTAATAGGAGAACAGAAGAGGAAACTAATTTAATTTTTAAATAAATTTTTAAAATATGCGTAAGAATAAACGAATGATCAAAACATATAACATATCACGTATGATACATGTGATATAGTGGAGTTAGTCGATACGTAGTATGGAGTGCACAAATAGCCTCTCGGTTACTCCCAGCTTACAGTGGGCGATTGAGACGAACGATTATATTCGAAGTACGCCCAAAGAAACGGATGTGCGCGTAGTGTTGTGTTTCTCTTTGTACATATTAGATTATTCGCGCGTTTATTCTTCAAATTCGCAATTTTATAGTAAGCGCATGAAATTTTGAGGTTAGGTTGTTAGTGACGATAATATTGTTCATAAAGAAGGATGAATAGAGAACCGGCGTGCTTGCACGTCGTTCTAACGGAATAATCTTTTATATCGGATTAGTTAAAGAGGATGACGAGTCTACCTGATACAGGCGTGACATGAAACATCACGAATTAGAATGGATTTGAACAATTATGATGATCAATCAGACACAGGTGCGATCGAACGTTACGATCATGATAATCGAATAACTTCCGGGGAGGGGCTGTCTCCTGGACCTGGAGCCGGCCTCGAATATGATTTGTGGGAAGGCCAGTTTCAATTTGTCGGACAACCGTCCTCTCGCGGTAGTCGACTACCTCGTCGTCGTGGTCCTCGGCTTACCGAACAAGTAAGACAATATACCGAGATCATAAGATTTTTTCTTTATGATTATAATAACATGATATTAAATATAAATATGTTTCGTTGCAATTAAATTAATGATAATGTTTAAAGCATTTATGATAATTATATAAATTTATCTTACTACGTTATGATTATTGTAATCTTTCATTAAGTATTGATATATTGTCTTATTTGATAATAGAAAAGTAAATAATTATAATAAAAAAAATAAATAAAATATACAAACTTTTATATATAATATGATAAACTATAGATAAACTATAATCTCTTATCATTTTTAGTTTGAAAAGATTAATAGATATATAGAAATCAATAAGTGTTATTTTCTTATTCAATAAATATGGACAATTGACAAGTATAAAAAAAAAAATATTTTATTGTTAGCATTAAACTCTCCATTTTAATTGAATTTAAATTTTAATTACTCAATCTGCATATTATATAATCTTTATTTACACTTCATATTAAATATAGATATGAAAATAATATTTATTTTGTTACAATTTATATTCTAAAATTGATATTTCAATTCTTGTTTAGATTTTGAATTTTATATAAATTTTATTTTAGTGATATTTAAACAATAATTTATTAAAATAAAAAATTATTCAAAGAATAATATTAGTCATATTTTATATAAGTTTTATTGCAAGATAAATTCACATTAAATATACATCTATGTTTGAAATTCTATTATTGAAAATAAACTACTTATTGAACATATAGTATGAGCTAATTGTAAATCTACAAAGACAAATTATTATTTAAATCTACATATGAAGATTAATAATTTCATTAATAATTATATAATTTTATTATGAGAATAGTATCAAATAATATTATAAATATAAATATATACACATATATACATATATTATAAATACGCATTATTTGAGAATCATTGTTTTATGAAGTCCTATAATATGAACTCGCACAAGCGCAAATTTTTAAACGAAAAATTATTGTATTCTTTATAGAATCGTAATTCTTATCTATCGTAATTTCTTTATAGAAACTTCTTTATATTATTGTTTTATATCTATTAAAATATATATATTTTCTAACATATAATTATATAATACACGTATCAATTAAATACAAATAGAAAGATATATAATTTTAATATACGATATATTTTTTCAGGTTCAAATGATTCAAGAACAAATGCATGCTTTTCAATCGGTCGGAGAAGAACGATATGTTAGAGCAAAACAAGAAAATGCTACGTTACAGGCGAGAATATTAATGTTAGAAGAAGCTGCCAAAGATGCTGAAACTAGAGCCGAAGAAAGACTTCAAGTAATTTTCATTAAATAAGTATTTATTGTATATTATATTTCTTTCTTCATTCATCGATAATGTAGTAAATAATAGTTTTGTTTTCTTATTGTTTTATCTTATAATATAATTGTTAATTTTATTTGTAAAATTAATACATATAAAACATATAATATATTATATTTTAGGCGGAACAACGAAGACATAGAGATTGGGCAAGTCGTTTAGAACGCGAACGTCAATTGCAATTAGAAAATTATGCTATCAAATTGCAAGCAATAGAATTAGAAGAAACTAGTTTAAGAGATGAAATAGCAAGGTTACGCGAGCAACTCGAAAAAGTTAAAATAGAGAAAAATCGATTAGAAAACGATCTCGAAGAAGCTAGAAGAGAAATAGATAGCGCTCGTGAAAGTGAACGGCAAGCAATAAGTCGAGCAAACGAAGCTCATTATCAACTTAAAGCTGTTAAAGAAGAATTGACTATGAAAATTGAAGATCAACAAAAAATAGAAGAATTAATGCAACAAGTAGCACAACTTCAAGCTTGTAATAAAAGTATATATATTTTTTAATTTATAAATATTTATAAATATTTTTACAATTAATAAAGTTATTATTAATAAAGTTTATTTGTGATAATATTATTATATAAAAAAAATATTTTTTTTTTTAAGGTTTAGAAGAATCACGAGATGAATTGCAAGCTGCAGCGGCTCTGCAGGCAGGCCGTGAACTTTTAATGTTAAATCCTTGTAATAATTCTGCTGAAAAAGGACCTAGTCTCGCTGTAGAATTACTAGCTGGCATGAATCAAGATCAGGTATATTATAGTTCTTATTTTTTTAGAAAATATAATTCTGAATATATCTATTTCATTCTCTTTCTTTTGCTGTTTCGGTTTACTACAGATAGACGGTCAACTTTCTGGAGATAATGGTGAACCTTGTAATATATCTGAAGTATGTGTTAAATTTTAATTGTGCATTAATATATGAGTCTCAAATCAATTTAAATTTAAAGATCAAAACAAACACAATAAATAATATATAAAATTGTTCGTCGAGATTTATTTATTGAGTTATACGCAATTTAAATTTATATTAGAAAAAATGAACTGGCATTATATCAAAAATAAAATTGTGTTCGTTTTGAAGAATTTATCTATTTTAAAAAAATTCCACGAATTTTATATTATTCAAATTTAATTATATTAATTATCATATTATTTCAAATCATTACAGATAAAACAAGCTTTAAAGGAACAACAAGAAGTCAATACACAATTAAGAGCATACATTGATGGAATTCTATTAAACATAGTTGAAAATTATCCCCAGTTGTTAGAAGTGAAACAAACTCATTGAACTATTATATGAATAGTTATTAAATTTAATGTTAATTGTTCCAGGCAATTGTACATTACTTTGTTGAAATTTTTAATTATTTATAAATTTATATAAATAATTTTGTCTAATTAGCTTTACACAAGTACCATATAGGAAAGTAATTTCCGTCCATGTGAACTTAAAATTTTATTATATTATGATAGATAATATGTAAAAATTTTCACTGCCAAAATTATTACTTCGGTTATACTTAATACTAATAATAATTTTTGGTATATTTTTAATATTAAAGGCAGTGAATTGATAAAAAAATTAAAATAAATTCTATATCGTTCGAATTTTAAAATTCGAGGCCTTAAAATGTTGCCTTTATAATAACGATAAAAAATTATTCTTAATAATAGAAAAATGAGAAATCGTAAATATGTAATGATGTATTATTTATTACACATAAAATTACTAACATTTCTTCTTGTAAGAAAATAAATTAATGAAAAATAGTTAAAAATTTTTAGTAAATATCAAAATGTATAATTGCATTTTGATATTATAAAAATTTATTTTAACAAAAGTACCTACAAAATTTAATATTAAATATTTTCACTTAATAGTTTATAGTATATCTTAAAAATTAATGAATGATGTTGAGAGTGTAATTAAATAATTATATTTTATTATCTCTTTCTCTTTCTCCCTCTTTCTTTACAGTTCCAATCTATTTATAAATTTCATAAATTTTTAAAAATTAAAGATGATATATATGTTAAAAAATGTCTGAATAAAGTATTGTTGAATTATTGAAATTTTGAATATTTAAAAAATTGTTATTATCAATCTTGTAATATCAATGTAATCAATATTGATTTTTTTATATTGTATCGAAGAGAGAAAAAGAAAAAAAAGATTGTTTATATAATAGTTTTTATAATCATTATTAAAAAAAAATATAACAAATTAGGTACTAATCAAATTTAGTTATTTTGTACATAATTGTTAGATACATTTTTACATGAAATGAAATAATAAAAAAATTTTAAACAAAATGTAATGTATTTCTTAAATTATTGTGTAAATAAAAAATGAATGAAAAGTTCATAATGAACATGCTATGCTATATTTGTATAATTTTATTCAATACATTTATGATTCTTTTATATTTATATATTTTTTTTCGTTTTCTTTATATATATAAAATATATATTTTACTATAAAATTAAAAAATAATATATTTATACAATATATAGAATATCATAAAGCAAATTTAATATTATTATATTAATAGATTAAATTTATTTAAAATATTTTACAATGTTAATAATTTAATTGAAACAAGCTAAAATGAAATTGTAAAGAATTAAACTTGTATTATTTATATTTTCTTATTTCTTACAAAGTCAATACCAAAATTTTTATATTTTTTATAATGAGAAATAACTTTTTTTTTAATTTTATATTTTTTAATGATTATAATTAGAGAAAATAAATTTTTATTTTTTGATTCTTGTCTTAATAATATGATAAATAATTGTCTTTTAAAATCTATGATTCAAATAGAATTATTTTTTGTTATATTATGTACTATCCAGTTATATTTAATAAAAGTTCAAATGTTAACTTTTTATATCTTCATTTTTCATTGTGAAATCAAAAGGTTATACATTATCAAAAATAGTTAAAAATCATCAAAATTACCAATAAAAGTTTTCGTTATATCTTCATTATAAAATTAAAAATAAGATTTGATTTAATATAATTAAACTCTTTCTTTAATATAACACAGCAATTTTTTATTTCATCAATGTTATATCAATTTTATTTTTCTTTATAAATATTTCTTAATATTACATGTACTATTAAAGAATGATACATAATGAAATATTATAATTAACTTTACATAACTATAAGGTATGATTATGACAACAATCACCATCACCATAAATCTATAACATATAGAACTATTACTTAATATAAATTTATCCAATCCAGAATCCACGGATTATACAATTATTGTTATCAGTTATAAGATATTAAACTTCTGCTTTAAATTGTTACTGATTAATAAAATGATTAATCACAAAATAAAATTTCAGTCAAAGATAAGATATTACAATATCATAGAAATTACTCAAATTTTCTTTATGATTAAATAACAGCAAATATATTTAAAAAATAAAATTGAATTAATAACTTATGTTAAATTAAAATTTGTAAATTATATTACTAATTTGATATAAGATATTATCAAATAGAATTAGTTTTAAAATATGCTTTAAGTATGCCTTTCTTAAGTTATTTTATAGTTAATGGGATTATAGAATCGGATAGTCGAAACAACAGGAAATATGGCGGCATTGCGCCGAGTACGAAGGTGAATTTGTATAAACTAACATTTGTTTTTGATTATTACTTGATCAAATAAAAAAGACAACATTGTAATGAAAGTGTGTAATGTTTTGTGATAAGATGTGTAGTGTTTTGTGACGAAAATAACAGCCCCTTGTGGCTGAATCGGATTTTTTGGTGTTGGATTATCGTCACACGAGACAAATAATTGGAAGTGTCCTCGAGGTGGCAGGTACGCAATTCAGAAACATACCCTTAAAAACATTACTATGTTATTCTCATATTATTTTTTTATATTATTTAAGAATAAAAGCATTAATTATTGTATTATTTATATATTATATTATTAAAAAATTTTGATGTTATTATTCCGAAACAATGAATCGTTTACGACCTGAATCGGGTGTGTTCCCTGTTGTCATCAATAGGACATTGACTCTTAGGATATTGCCCTCGTTCGACCTTTAATTGTTTCTACAAATACAAAATAAAATTAAATAAAATTATTTAAATTTTTATACTATATTGAAATTAATATTCATATTAATAATTTACAAATTCAAATTAAACAGGATGATAATATATTGAAAATTTTAGATAATTAAATATCAACTAAATCGAACTGTATTTTCAATATCAATAATAATTTATATTTTTTATATATAAACAATATAATCAATCATATATTATTGACATAGATTATTATGCTATTGATTAACTATTTATTAATAAGCAACTATTTTGGTAATGACCATGAATAAATATTTCATTTTTTTCAAATTTTCATATTTCATTCAAAAATAAAATTAACTAAATTTTAATCAATAATTATCGAATATTATATTCAACACTATACATATTTATATTGTCATATAAAATGAATAAAATATACTTGAATGACACTTACAATTAGAAAGTATGAAAAAGTCTTCACATTCTATTTTATTAAATGCTTATCGAAATTTTTTTTTTGTTATACAAAATGTGATGCATGATTTATTGCTAATTTTGGATTTGAAAATGATAAAAATTCTAAGAAAAGAATATTATGAAAATAGTTAATTATATTGATTGTGATAAAAAATAATAGAACATGAGTTACACACGTGTACATACATATGCTAGATATGTTAGTGATATATAGGTCAAGCACTTCTCAACATCGAGGTCATTGCCCCAGGATTTACTCTGTCGATAAAACAGTCGTTAATTGACTAAATTCGTTCTATTACATACAATTCGACGATAGAGGTCACTATTATATTTAGATATTTATAATTTATCTCTTTTTTTTTTAAATGCAATTTATATGTTTACATAGAAATAAAATATATAGTTTTTAATGTGCATTCACATAAAATGCAGTAAAAATGCATGCTTATCAATTATTAATAATATATTATTATTTTCTTTTTTAAATTATCAATGATTGTTTTTTTTTTAAATTAAAAAGATATAAATTTTAATCTAAATTTAATATATTTTCAACTTATTAATCTTGCAGATAAATAAGATTTCGAACAAATGTTGTTATAATTTACGAATATTATTTAATATATACATATTATTTAATATGTTTAATATTGTATTAATATATTTTTATTCGTATGTCGAAAATTGTCGAATCATCTAGTGAATTTATTAATATCAGATAAGTATGATTAATGCTTCAATTTATATATATTTAATCTTAGAAAATACTTATTGTTAGAGACAGAGAAGAGTGACCTTGAATCCAAAAACATTACGTTAAACATAATTGTCATTAATTGTTATTTTCTATTTTTTAGCAAAAAATTATATATATATATATATATATATATATATATATATAATAGCATAATATAAATTAGATATTTCATAAATAAATTTTTATTTATTTGAGAAAGCGTGAATTTATTATTACATATATGATTCATTATTAATTATTTTGGAGTTTATATAATGGATATAAAGGATTTAGAATCAACTTATTTCATTTAATTTGCTTTGATCATGAGAATTATTATTATTCAATCGATTGTGTTCAGTACATACATTCAAAGTGGTATTAGATTAATAATATTAATACGCATATGGCAATAAACACAGTTGTCTTTTTTATATATGTGTTTCTATGAATATTTGAATAAAAATAAAAAAATATATTATACATGATATAATATTTTATCAATAAAATCGATTAATATTGAAAACTAATGAAACTAGCAATAATAATAAATCATATTGAAGTATAAATGCATATAAATGATTTGTTCATTCTAACCTAGATAGATCTTATGTTTGTTGTTTCGCATTTATAGAAAGAATTTGATCGTTTATAGATTATAGAATTCTTTGGCATTTAAACAATTGTATATCATTGATTAATAAACTCGTTATTGTTATTGTCACGTGATTTATACTTATTTTTGTAGGATTAAATATTTATTTTTTTCAATAGCACAGTTTGTGTAAGAACGAGATTTTACGCTAGTTCGCATATAAAAAGCGTTCGATATGATATTTTTAGTGCAATGTTGTTGATTATTCGACTAACGAATTATTAATAAATCCCGGCTTTATTTTTGATTAAGTGAGCAATGTCGATCAGCCAGATAAAAAGATGCACGAGCCTGCATCATGTGTAAATTGGTAGAACTGGTGACTGTACACATATATATCGACACATATATATGCGACCTTCGACTTTTATTAAGACATAAACAACGATAAGATGATCAAATAACTATTTGTCTATTATTTTGTCATTAACATAATTTTATCATTAATAATATTTATTATATTATGTCCATAAATATAATTTGTATGTTTTTGATATATTCTTAAAATTTTTTAGATATTATAGAATATAATATTTATACTAAAAAATAATTAAATTTATTGGAAACTTGTGTTTCAAAGTTCATTTATAATAGAATTCTAATAGAATTTTTAATAAAATTTCTGATATATTCAATGAATTTATTCAATATAATACACGCGTGTATTTTTTCATGCCATAATTATTTTCATCTTTTGAATAAAAATATTCAAATATATTTCCAAGCATACGATTATTTTTTTATTATAACATACATTTATAACAATACATTAAAAAAATAATAATATATTTATTAATTAATTCATTTATGAGTTCCAAGCAATTATATATTCTGTTTCAAAATTTTTTTATGCCAGATTTGATCCTTCAGCGTCATCTTTTTT